TTGTTTTTATCAGGAATTATTTATGCTTTGCTTTAAAATTCAATTAATTGCTTGGTTATATTATAAACAATTTGCTGTAAGTAAAATATAATAAAATTCAATTGTTATGAAAACTTAAATTTCTAAACTACACAACCCTCATAATTAAAGTAAGTTTCTAGAAAGAAACTAGACCATTCCGATCAGCTTTCAATAAAAAGATAAATGATTTCACTTTTTCCGGAAGTTGAGCAACTTTTTGCCGCTACCCATTTGTCATCAATCAATTAGAAGCGCTTCCCCTGTCAAATGTGTCAAACTATTGCATAAACTAACATTAACCCAAGCTATGGCCGGCACGGCTGCCTAATAAATTTTTCAGAGCCGCCAGTGCTGGGCCAACATAAATCTACATGGCCAGCTCCTCTTACATATTTCATCGAGGCTCTCCGATTGCGTCCGCTCGAGCTCGTACTCGAGCTTCTGTGCCGAGTTTCATTTCCTTGGCACTTCCTTGCACACGGCCATGTAATACTTTCCCTTTTTTAATATGCTCATTCAATTTACTTGCGCCAGTTCCCGTCTCCCGCCTACCGTCTACCAACTCCCAACTCCCGATTGCTCCTCGATTATTGATGACATGACAAACAAGGTACGATTTCCGCCCGGCTCCCAAGCAGAAGAAGTTCGAGAATCATTTTTCTTTTGGCTCGATTGTATTTGTATGCGCATTAACTTCATTTTGCAATCATGCGCGCCATAAATCCAATTTAATTGTGCTGCTCCCCCACACACACACACTCACCCAGCGCACAGATACAAATGCGAAAACACACGCATGAGCTGCTTGAGTGCACGGCGGCGTATACTTAATTTTTGCTCGTTCGTGCGCTCAATTCCGCTTCCTCGCAACTTCTAACTCAATGCTAAATAGAAGCACATAAATTTCCGGCACCAGCGTCCCTGCCCCAGCGATATCCGGTTTGATTTCTTCGGATTGCATTTTGAAAAATAGATTTTTTATACTGTTGCTTCCAGCTCTCGGCCCCACCTTTGTCTACCTTGCCGCCTTCGCTATCTATCCCTCTTTGATTTACTACGCACAATTTCGTGTACCTTTCGCAGGACTTGCTGCCAGGACTCGCCAGTCCAGTTCGAGTGGCTCGTTGTGATTTATGTTTGATTGAAATGCTCTAAATTGTATGCTAATCTGGACTTTGACACAAAGCTCATTTGTTGTTGCTCCCGCTGCCTCTGCCCTTGCCTTTGCTGTTGCTATTGTTGCAGCAATCGCATTTAAATGTTGTGCCTGGCATTTGGCAGTTTGCTTAAGCGTTTGCTAATTTGAAAACCATTTCGGGCTCGGGCTGCTATCAAGGGGTTGCTAGCTGCCTCGAAAGCTTATTCGTATCATTTGTCAGGCTTTTAGGTTTTGGGTTGGGTTGAATTTCTACGAATCTGTTGTGGCTAATTGAACTGTTAATTGCTCTGAAATGTTCTGCAAAACTCTAAATATTTACCCAAAATTTAGTAATGAACAGTTGATTAGCAGATGGAATGGAGTACGACTCAGATTTGGGATCAATTTTAGGAATATTCTAGGATATATGTAGAGCTGTTTAAGAGTTTCAAGTGATATTTTATTTATACTGCTTCACTACTATATTTTTCACTGAGATCTCTTCTTAAATAGGTTTCCCTCTAGAAATCACCTTGTATTAAACCAATAAATTACATCGAAATCAAAAGAAAACTCCCCTCAGAGTTAAGAGCCCAACAAACTCAGATTTCAATACAGTTTGCTTTGCCATTGGATACTTAAGCCCATGACAATCACGTTGCATTCGTCGCAAGTTGATTTGATGGCAGACATTAAGTGCAGCTGCTTGGGCGCGTTACTTCACTATCTCTGGGCCATAAATTCCCACAGGGCCCCCCTTCGCCGCCAATTTCCTGTCGCATGCGCTGCTAAGTATACTATATAATTTTTTTTTATTTTCATAAATCCCACAACTGTCAACTGCGGGGAGCGGAAACGGCTAAATTCAGCAATAAATTGGCGTGAGTGAGTCAGAGAGTGGAGCATGCTTCATTAATGCGACAACCGTGGAACCCTCGCCCCCCCTGACCCTTTATCCCTTACCCTTCCCTCACTCCACACATCCCACATACAAACAGGACAGCACAATTGGCTGCACTTGTGTGTCCACTTAGTTGGGCGAGCAAAACCCACAATATCCACATGGCCGAGTGGTTGCACTCACGCCCCACCCTTTACCTCTTAACCCTTAACCCCCTAGTCCCCACACCCCACCGACCACTCCGCAATGGCTCTTCATGTCCGTGTGGTTAAGTGAGCTCCGTGCGGCTGGCAGTTCTGTTTTATTTCCCTTTTTTGAGTTATGCGCGGCATTTCCGGTCTTGTCATTTCATACTAATCAACATCCGTTGAACGGAATTTTGGGCCAGCATTTTGGACTGCATTTTTTGGGGGTCTGTTTCGCGGCAGCCCCGATATTTTCGGGGTAATATTTTCTGGGCCGCGTTACACGCATTTGTTGCAGCATTTGCATTGTAATTGCAACAGTGCGTATAAGTGATGTGCATATAAATTACATTTGCTTCGCTGCGGGTTGTCGGTCGGGCAAAAACTTCCAGCTATGGAAATTGAAAATTTATTGCATACTACCACGTGGCCGGCGCCCTGTCGGGGGTCTCCGGTCTTCGTTCGGTTCGGTCCGGCTTTCATTACAAATTACGCATACGCACCGTTGTTAATTTCATATTCATAAATGATGGCCGCACTCCTTAGGGAAATTGCACGAAGCACTCGAGCTTCTGCGGTCCCTTTTCCACAGGTCCCGCCAGTGTTTCAGCCTGCGTTTGTGAGTATTTTTGTTAACAACAAAAAAAAATGGTTAAATTATGCCTTAGTTAAGGCCTTGGTCGACTTTGATCTCCGTCCTCCAAGCGAAATCTCGTGGCAAATCTCCGCCCGGCTCTACTCTAACTAGCCAAAAGCCGGGCAGCATAATCCGGTACATTTGACTCTGAATGCTCTCTTAGGTCCAGTCCATTTGGCCACTTGACTTGCGCCAAAAGGGGCTGCCCATCAAATCCCCAGAAAGTCCAGGCCATAAACATAAAAACCAAAAGGGCACAGCTCTCTGATGCGCTGGTCGGCTCTGCCATCGAGTGTACTTTCTTGAATTAAACCTCTAATTAGTGAAAGCTGTTTTTGGCCGGGATTAAAGGTTGCCCAGGGACATCTTGAATGACTAATGAAAATTTCTTTGAATTTTTAAAAGATTTACGTCTAAGAAGGGGCTCAGAAAAGCCAAAGAAGCCAGCATGATTAAAAATGTTTCCGTTGGGAGCCTAGGCAAAAGGGATTTAGAACTCCTAGAATTGAAATGATAAGCGGATGGTTTGGATCTGGAAAATTAATAAAGGTGTTATACGAAGCTTAAGTGGAGCTATTAGGTTCTTAAACTCTTGGGAAATTATAAAAGGGAGTAAGCAAATTAAGGGTTGCGAAATATATTGTTTTTCTTTAGACTCACAAAATTTATTCAGTTTTCTAAGTCAATAATCTTCTATTGTGGATCTGGGGAAAGCCATCGAGACGCGTTCCTAATGCTCATCTCATCTAATAAAGACAGATTTAATCAGATTATTCTCTTATTTTGGTCCTTCGAGCCGGATTAACGACTTAGAGAAAGTGATGATTTTTGTAAATGTATGGCTCTTGGTTTATTTACAGATCCCAAAAATGTTATAATTCTAGATTAGTCTTCGTCTGTTTTTTGAAAAAATAATCTTTTAATGTTATTCATTATTTAATTAGATTTAATTAATTTAGATCTAATTATTATTTATTATATATAGCTTCATGCTAAGGCTTGTTTAAAATTTGCTTACCAACTTTATATCAACTTGAACTGTATTAATGAAACCCTTTTGTATTATCTCTTAAAAATGTGTAAGTTTTCCCAAATCAAAGCCCTTATTGCGTAATCTGATTTTATTAATTCTACAGAGATATTTTGTATTAAAAGATTCTTGACATAACAAATCAACAAATACAAATTTGATTAAACCCGTTTCCGGATGAATTCACCTCTCAAGTACGAACTGCTCGCAGACTTATTGCTTAATCGCAGTCACCAACTCGAGATTTTATTGCACCACCCGACGCCATTCCTTTGGAAGGAGTTGCCTCGCTTAGTGCCGACTCACCAATAAAACTGCATTGTGTCTGTGGAAGCCAGGCAAACAAATTAGTTCTGCCCAGACACACACACACACACACAGAGGGGAAAAGGAACTTGAGAAGGACCTCCCAAACACACAATGGAGCCTCTCGGGGGGTCGACATCAAAATATTAGACGCGTCAATAGCTCTGCACATTTTGCGCTTTTGCATTTCGAAGGCAATCGAGGCGACAAGTTGAACGACATCGAAATGTGGAAAACGGGGAACCCTCACATGCTTCCCCATTTACATTGCCAATTCAATGGAACAAAAAGTGCAACCAGCTCCGATGACGCGCACACACTCTCACTCTGTGAATGAGGATGACGGCGGCGATGTCGCCTGCGGATGAAATGGGAATGTGTGTTTAATGGTTGACATTGTTGTTTACAAATTGACTTTTTGTTGCTGCCGCTTCTGCTCGTCAATAAACATTTGCCTGATAATATGCCAACATATGCATAACGTACATAAGTAGCTTACATCCTCCAACCTCCCAACTAACTGCCGTTCTACAGAGAGGGAAAATGTCTCAACTAATAATTGGTTTGATAACAAATATTTTCTAGAGTGCAATATTTATTTAATATTTTTTAAAAAACTATCAAAGATCAAAAGGTTATTAATTATTATAAAATCGGAGCTCAAAGCGCATTAATTTTCTCTTGGCTGTGGCTCTTCCTCTGAAAACTTAATTATTCATTAAATATTTTTCGTTATCATCGAACAAATATTCCAACTAAACATGATTTTTCTCTTTGTGCAGCAGAACTCCAGCAATATCAACAGCAGCAGCAACAGCAGTCGAGTAAACATCAGGCCAACGGAGCTGTCCTCACTGGAATGCAATCGCACCACATACGCGGACCACGCCCCCCGCTCCGCACCGCCTCCTCCACGACCACCAACAGTAGCAGCAATAACTCGGCAATGGGCGTGGTCGTGTCCGGGGCCGGCGGAGGTGGTGGCAACATTCTGCTCGATCAGACGCCTTCCGGGGGCAGTAGCAGCAGCGGCGTGAGCAGTGCTCCCAGCTCCTCGAAAGGCCACCACACCCACTCGCATTCGCACGCCGCCCACCTAGTGCACACACACGGCGAGGGCATGGTCCTGACCTCCGCCTCGCCCGTCGGTGTCCAGCAGCAGCACCAGCACCAGCAGCAGCATCAACAGCAGCAGCAGCAACAGCAGCAGGTGCCGCAGGCGGCCATGGACGAGATGCGCGTCTGATAGGTATCGGTCTTTGAGTTGGACTTATAGTCATCAACGGGGTGAGTGTTTTATACAAATAACAAATAGCCAGAATCTACAGAACTGCAGAAATGCAGAACAAAGTGGAAGATCTGGAGATTCTGTAGTAATTTTATATTCTTAAAACCAGTTCTCAAAATTTTCTGATTCTGATATTTCCTTGGTTTCAATACTTATTAGAAAATAAATTAAGTTTTTTTCATTTTTATGTAAGGTTTTTTAATTATTCAATTCATGTAACTCACATGCTTGCCTTATTTAGCCTTGATTTTCACCCACCATTTTCACTTTCATTTGAGCCTTTTTCCTTATCCCAAACTCTTTTATGCATCTGTATATCCTTTTTTCCGTACAAAAAAGAAAAGTCTCAAGAGATTTAGCGTGAACTCATATGTAATTTTTTCAAACGTTCTTTTTTTTCGCATATTCATACCAAGAATATTTATTATTCATTTCGCGTATTATGCCAGAAGCTCACTCAATTCTTTGGTGTAATATTTGTGGCGCCACGTGGCAGTCAAGGAGGTCGAATTCGTCGGTGTTCGGTGGTCAAGCCTTTTCACGGCGATTTATTACGTTTCGTGCACGAGTATGTGTTTTCTAAGGAGACATTAAATTCAAACTAAAATCGCTTGGGCAATCCGTATAATATATAGTCAGCTAAGCCCTTTAAAATGTAGTTCCCGACACTGCATCCTACAAAAATGACAAACATGCTGAACTCTTCACAGGGCAAAAGAAGAAAAACCAAAGGTCGTGCCGGGGCATCCAAAAAAAAAAAAAGGTAGAATAAAATATCTGCGCACACAGACTCTGATCAAAAATAACAAACGGCATGTCAAACATGCGGCAGCAAAAAATGCTGCCTCTTTATTTGATAAAATAAAAAACAAACGAATAAAAATAAATATGCACGAAAGGCACGAAGCATATAACCGAGTTCATGGTTCAAGGTGGACTCAAATGTCGCAGCCACTGGCATGGAAAAATGCCATAGACTGGGCGTCCAAATACCGAAAAGGTAGAGCTTTAATGGAGAGTTTTTCGCAGCAGGAAAGAACGAATAAAATATAGGCATTAATGCCGGGCCAAAGGGAACGAAATTGTAAACGAAATTAAAACTGGAGCCACCAGAGCAGGCCATAACAAGTGGCAAGGTGCAAGGTAATTTGCGGCATGCAACTTGAAACCGAGCCCTCGACTAATTTATGAGCCCAGTTTCGGTCTCTGGAAATTCGAGCTAAACCAAATTAAAACTGCAATGTGGCCAACAAAAAAAAATTGGTAATTGCATTAACTGTAACCCAGCTGTGAAGCATACTTACGCTGCTGTCAACTCAAAGGAGAACTGGAAAACGGAATAAGACTGAAAGTGAAACAAAATAAAACAGTTGCCTTGTGCTTATTATTGTTTTTCAAAGGTGCTAAGTAGCTTTAATTCCTAAATTATTATAAGTTCTACGATTTTCTATAGGAATGGGATGATAAGCACATCTAAAAATATCCCCAATGACCTCTTTAAATTTCTCAAAAATCCCAATAAGAATATTTATTTCTAATTTAAATATATTAAATTTATATACATATAATAAAAATCCCCTTTAATAAGAGGCTGCGCCGAAAAGATCTGTCCACTTACAGCACATTTTATCACCTACTTTTCCTGCCCACTTGCAGCCACTTGTGGAGAGGTGTGCGGGCAGGACACTATTTCACCTGGCATACAATTAAATTTGCATTTCTTGCCTTTTTGTTTAACCCACGATGCCCGCGCAGCCTCCGTCCTGGTTTCCTTAACTTTTAGCTGATTAACATTTCTGCGCCATGCTCTTGGCCCTGTGTGGAAATGCAATTTTCCCTTCCAGCCAAAGTGAAAGCGGGGCCCAGGGCAAATGGCAACTTTTATGTAAATTTACACCCACTCACATTCACAAGCACACACTCACACGGTTTAAACACACACACACAAACCCGGACACGGGGGCGTGTCGAAGTGTATATGTGTTAAAAGCGCAATAAACATTAATTTCACATTCTTTTTCCTTGAGCCACTCCATTTTGGGTCCTTATACTTTGTTTAAGTTCTTCCCTCTTCAGTAGATTTTTTGCACTTGTTGAAATTATGATCAAAAGATTGTTGCGTTTCAGAAAAGAAAAAAATGGGAGATGAAATGAAATGAAAACAATCTTTTGGTGGAAAAAATCTTTAAATTTGGAGTGGCCATATTGTTTAAAAAGTGAAATAATGGAAACTACAAAAGTTCATGTGTTATTTTAACCATATATGTATGAGCCCCAAATAAATAATCTAATTGATATAATTGATATAAAAAAACGATAGGTAATTAAATGAATTAAATAAATTTGTCGATTATTTATTCAATAATACCGATATCATAAAGATTAAAGCGATATCGGTCAATATTTAAGTTTTAGATTTTCTTTTGAGGTAAAAACTATCTTTGTCAATTAAAACCTTAGTTAAATTTAAGCCTTAAGCAAACCTAGCAAAGATCCACATAAAACCTGAATAAATTTGGATATTTGTTAAGCCTGGATTTCCATTTAATGATTGGTAGTTAAATATAAATAATTGCAATTTACTTGTTTGCATTTGCAACTCAATTGATGTGCTCATCCAACACATTACTAATCAATTAAGTCAACAAATGAATGAAAACACTTTAATTTCTTATCGATTTCTCGGCTGCACTTATAATATCATCAGATGCGGTTTCCCTGACTGCCATCTGTTGTGATTTGTTGCGGAAATTATTTTGGAAACTAAATATTTACTGCGGAGCTGACAAGTTTGCTGTCGAGAAATGCGAGAAATGTGGTAAGAAGTTTAGGAAATTGTGTGCTTGAATTTCTTGACACCACCGTACACAGCAGCCTAAGAGCGGATGATGTCCCTTCAGCACACATGAACTGGCAACCCTGGTGGACCAAATGTGCTATGTAATTAGCGTAAAACTTTCAAGTTGCATCAAGCCCCAGAGAAAATAAGTAGAGTTAAATGGATATAAACAAAGGTAGCAAGATTTTTGGGTTATTTGGAAAGGGTATTTCAACTACCTAAACTCAATTAACTGAAAATATCTTTTCTACTAAGACAATTATATAGAAATTAACAGAAATTCTATCTGTATATTTAAATACTATTTAAATTAATATTTAATATTTATTGGAAATTTTTCAAACCTTTCTTCGTAGATATAGTAGTTTCCGTCACTAATGGGACTCTTATTAGGAATTTAAGACTTTCAAAGTTTGAAAGTTATTTAATTCTTTAAAATGTTACCCTTTTCCGCTCATTTTATACCAAAACTCTTAAAAGTAATCACTAGAGCAGCTCATTATAGGCATGGGGATTATTTTCAGCTTCCTATAATTCTTGAATTAAAGTTAATTATACATGTGGAAACGGTTTCTCCTACTTTTCAGTATTTACGAAAATGAGCTTATGAACCTGGCCAAGTTTCCGACACTTGACTGATGTTTATTGTTTCTTTAAGAAGGGTCTCAGTCCCCGTTTCCCGTTCTGCCAAGCCATTTGGCCCCTCTCGAGCAGCAGCACAAGATATGCAAAGTGGCTGCACAAACATGCGCGTAATACGTTAATGATGGTCCCTGCCTTCGCCCGCCCCCGTACGCCCTCCTGGCCCACCCGTAACATGCACACATTGTAGCCGCGATTTGCATTACGCGCATTACTCAGTTCCCTCGTTTTGACGGGGCTTTCACGACTTCTTCCCTTTCAGTTTCGGTATCTTGCGAGGAGAAAGTCTAAGCTGCTCCGCCGCCCCTGTAACCACTCGCATCCATCCCCCCTCTGTCCATCATCACCACTCCAGTCAACAATCTGCGCCAAATTGTGCGCTCAACTGTGTGCAGCACAGCCCCCTTAACCCCTGCTCGCCTTTCTAGCCCACAGACCATCCGACCACCCCCTGCTGGCCAGAGAGCTGGCAAAACAAAAGGCAGCCGCGCATTTTTCGCAACTGCACTTTACTTTGCACTTTTCGCTTTCTTTGCATAAATTCTCGCCATCCCGAGTTTACTGTACTGCAAAAATGGGCACGCATACAGCTAAAACGAAAGAAAACAAAATTGGTGGAAAGGAGTCAAGAGGCAGGACAAAAAGGTACCCTTTAATAAGTGTATAAGTGCAAAGTTATAAGAAGGAAGTACCAATTAAACAACTCGATTATTAGTCTATGTTTTTTGAATTTTAGAAATTTATCGCTGAAATATGTAAATGAAATTAAAAATCTTTATATTTAGACTAGATTTGAGATGGCAAAAAATAGCAATAAGTCGATAATATATCGATATTCGATGCATTGGCCGATATACATAGACACCGATATATTTTCAATGTGATTTGCATACATAACATATTTTTGATATATCAATATATCAAATATGGCTATACTTTTTGATATTTAAAAAATCTGTATATAAAACTTTACAATATTTTCAATATAAAATTATTTTCTTAATTTTTAAGCTTATATAATGGCCCAAACCGATATTTATTATTTTAAAAACTATTACACAGGCCGAAAACATTTTAAAAATTTCAGAATTCAGAACTGGAATATACTTTTCCGAAGGTAATTGATGCTCTGAACTCAAATCCGACCTTAGAAAATACCCTATTCGTCAGCTCTTGAGATATTTTAACCTAAAAGTGCAAAAATACGTTTCTTGATTACCTTTGAGGTTCTATAACTTCATCTTAAGGAACTGTTAAATAATATTCTAAAATTCTACAAATTTGTACATTTTTTAAGCAGTCAAAATAAAATTCAAAACTATAAGACCTTAGCTGTTTACCAATTTGAAGACTGCAAATTAGCCAAATGAATTCCGAACAGAATCAGATATCTGGAATCAGAAAATGAAGTTTGTACTTTATTGAATATACACCGATAAGTAACTGATTTCGGTATACCCTCACCATTCTGTCTAAGTGGTACAAAAACACAAACAGCGGTGGTGGAAGAAAAAGTTGAGGAAAAGAACGCTGGAAACGAAATGAAAAAAAAAGAAATGAAGCTGAATAAATATGGCATGCAGCTGCTGCAGAAGATTTTCCCGCTGAATTTTAAACTAAACACCAAGGCATAATGGAAAAATGGGAAAATAGAAAGCGCCAACAGAGCGCAATGAAGTGTGCGGCCCTGAGAAAGGCGCAACATCAACGAATCCGCGACCAAATGGAGCCGAGCACCCGATAGGACAGATATGTATGCAAAATGCTGGCGATATGGCGCGGCCAACTGAGTGGCACTGATGGGATTGCACTTTTAGCGGGCACTGTGTCGTAAACGCTGATGGCTGAGGCGGTTCTAAAAAGGGGTAACTGTAAAAAGTATTGTAAAGATTTCTAAGAGCGAAAGTATTACAAACTCTAAAAGTTCGTTTAAGCTATGAATTCTCGATGGGATAAATGATTCCTTCCATTTTAAATGGGCATTTATTAAAAATTTTAATTAATAATGCACATTTCTCTTATGTTGATATATTTTAATTGGAATGTATTCATTTTCTTTTTGTTTTATATGTAAAATAATGTACTATTTAATAACTCTATATTAAAAATCATCTATTAGGGTTGTCAGCGCTTTAATCCCATTAATTTCCACCTACAAATCATGACTATTTATTGGCTCAGCCTCTATTTGCAGCAACTTGCATTAACTCTGCATTATATTTTTTTAATTAATTTAAATTTAATATTTTACCTATAAAATCCAAGTAAAGACTTTAATTTTCAACTGCTATTTCCCACTTTATATTGCAGCTCCATAGAAACACTGCGAGCGGAAACGCCCGAGGAGTTCTATGCCCCGAAACGGGCGGATGATGATGGCCAACTCAATGGGACACCAGCCGATGCGAACTTAGCTGCAACTGTGGTGGCGGGAAAAGGCGGGACGGGGGGCGGAGGAACTGGAGGTGACCACAAGCAGCGGCAACTGAAGAAGCTGCGATTCAAGCGGGAAATGCATGCCCTGGCGCTGGAGGGCGGAGATGTGGCCAGGGGCTACTGCTCCTGCGACGAGCAGTGGACCAACTCGTCTTCTCCGACGTCCACCACGACGTCGGCAACCATGTCGCCGACTCTGCCAGCAACCGGAAGTAGCAACGGGCGCTACGCAACCGGAAGCGGGAGCGGCAGCGGGATCGTAAAAATGGCGGCGTCGACGGGGGGGAAGCGGGGCGGGAGGCTCAAGCAGCAGCACCATGTGCGCTTCTCCGACGAGAAGAACTTCTCGGATTGAGGATAAAACCAACTACTAGACTGCACCTAATCTCTGTTTAGTCATAGGCTAATTCCCCGACGGAAAGGGGAAATCAAACAAATCATCAGAAAACCAAACAAGTTGCATTAAATTCCGTAGCTAAACGTAGTCGATAAGGAACCTGTACATATAGCTCGAGAATGTTAGTTAAATATCTGTGTTTAGTTGCTCGATAGATCTGTTGTGAACTATATATACGCATATATATAAATATATATGGATATAATCAAGCTAACGATACATACAATTCGTCAGATAAGTGTAGCACAAATGCATTTTTTCCACTCATCAAGAAAGTGAAGGCAAACATTGATGGTCTTTGTTGATAAACGAAAGTGTAAATACTCTAGTCAAAATAAACATAAAATGTGGTAAAATTTACTTCAAGTAAATTTATGAAAGAAAACAAAAAACGAAAATCACTAAACTAACAAAAACAAAAGCGCTCAAAATAGATAAGGATCAACTAACACAACAATGAAGGGCATAATTGAAAGCAAATAAATAGTTTATCATTTAATTATTGCTCTAAGGACGAGGCATGAACATGTGACGCTTCTTTTTTTTCTGTGTACAAAGCGAGAAAACCAAACAGTGTTTAATTAAACGATGATTTTCAACCACATTTCAAATTTAATAATTAGCAGCACACCTGGGAATCTCAGCCTAGACGCAACAGGTCAATTGGAGTTCTGAAAATGATATATATCAGAGTCTTAATGGTTTGTTTTTAAATATTCAGATATTGTATTGTATTTTGTAACATCCAATCCTGTTCTCACAAAAGAGGTACCTCAAACTAACAAAAACTGCCAACTGATAAGCTCATTTATTTCAAAACAGAAATGCTAATTGTTTCATTTATTTAAAAACAACTCTTCCATCCTATTCGTAAATCATTCTCATCAAAACTAATAGAAGGCGTCGCCAAGAAAGCACAGATAAACCATAAAATATTTGTACTTTTAAGAACAAAATTTATAATCGTCTAGTTTACATTATGAAAAAAAAAAGTCGACTTGCAGAAAACACATAAACTAAATTAAGTGATTAATATGAAGTAAAATTAAACTAAACGAAATATAAACCAACCATAAAAACAGAAAACAATAAAAACTAAATTAAAGAAATTCATAATGTTTTTTTTTTATTGTTATAGAATTTAAAAGGAAAATCTTTTGCTTGTAAAATTAGTCAACTTTGACATTAGCAGAAAGGTAAGAAATTTATATTTTAACTATTTACTATATTGAATAGGAATAATAATAAACAAGGCAAGATTATATCATTTGCGTCTTATAATTCAAAAAACATTTTCCGTTAAATCCAAGATTTAATATTAAAACAAGTAGGTCAAAGTAGGAAACCCTTGGAAATGCCATTAAGCGCACCGTAGAAATATTGTTTTGTAATCCTTCTACGAAAAACAGCAATTTATGAACTTTTGCCATGCCTGCTAACAGCTAATAAAGACTTTAAGACCCCAGTGAACCCGATCTGACCCTGAGGATTTCTGGATTCATTTCGTTTTAAAGGCTTTTCGTTTATGTGAAGAATTTTCGTTCTGGCAATTTTAATGGCTCAAATTTTTATGGCAGCCAGCAACGGTTATTAAATCAAGTTTTATGTCTGGCCAGCAATATGGCTGCAAAAGACCTCGCTGATGGAGAACGAGCAGTGTTTCGCAGGAAGAAAGTTTACTAAGTTCAGCCGGAATATTCAAGGTTCTTTGGAAATTAATTTATATATTGTGGAGCTCAGTTTCTGGAATTAAATATGTAGCCCCTTCATCAAAACCTCGCCACTTTCTGGTCTGGAAGCTTGTTGATGTTTGTCCAAAACTATTCCAATTAAATCGCAAAAAAAAAAAGAGGAAAACTAAGAATGGTGGAAAATAGAAAATGAAAGCTAAAAATACAAAATGCCCGCTGGTCATTTTGTAGCTCTTTTGTAGACCGACTCTTCCGCCCCTTTTCCACCCTGACTTGTTTGTTTTGTTTGATGTGTGTTGCTGGCAACATTATGCTGGCAGCCTTGTTGCTCTTTCCAAAAGCCAAAGTTTTAAGCGTAATTTTCATTATTTAAAATGTGCTGGTAAACGGGTGTGCCACTGAGTGTGTGAATGTGTGAGTACTGAGGACTGTTCAGCGTCTAAAAAGAACCCAGCAGGCAAAGAGCGGTCTCAGTGCGGATGGATCCGAGAAATGTCCGCTAAAAATATTAAATGCGAACAAAGAATCGGAGTTTCCGCATTAGGTTCGGGGAATGCTCAAAAACGGACGCGCAAACGGACGAAAAGCAAAACTGTGGCGTTCCCCGTGAATGTACCGAAAACGTATTGCTAACGGACACTGAAACGTACAGTGGGCGGCCAAAAAGCGGACTTACCGCAATAGGTTTGCCTAATTGTCGAAACCTGGTCCGAAAACAGATACTGAAACGGGCTAACACTGGGACCCGTGCAAATGTCCCGCTAACGGACACTAAAACGCACTGCACGCGTTAAAAATCTTGTCGTCAACGAAATTTCTAGAACTCGATGAACGGTTCTTCTCCTTCCTTTTTTTGTCGCTTGCCTGTTTTTTGTTATTTCGCTGCAAATGAGCGAGAGGCAAATATTATTGCATCATCTTTTAACTCTTTTGGTTTGTGGAATTTTTCCCGTTGCGACTCTTTTCCTTTTGACCGGCGAGTTGTGCGGACGTGAGTGAACAGTTTTTTAAAAGACGCACGTGTTTTCATCGGTAAGTGTTAAATTTAAATTGATTAATATATACAATCTCTTACTAATGAACTAATATTGACTAGATTTATATTTATTTATGCTGGCGAGACTTAATTTCCGACGAAGTGGCGCGCCAATGGTCCTGGTTTGGGACAGAGTCCAAAATGTCCATTCGAGAGATGCTTATTACGTCATCCGTCAAAGGTATGTATATTTTTCGTATATTTTTTAATACGTATATACTTATAATAATTTATATTTTTACAGCCGCTTTTATAAACAAATTTGCGTTGGAGGATGCAAGCAGACACAAAAGCAGAATGCACAGGACGGTTTGTATTAGTATTAAGTATTATTAGTTTTAAGGAAATTAACAAATCTTAAGTAAAATGTTTATTTTTTAAGTTAAATAATGATAACTAATAAATAATGATAAACATAAATAAATGTATGTTTTATTTACATTTAAAAAACCCGAAATTCTAAAAAAATTTAGTTGGAAATAGATATTAAAAACGTATCTGAAACGCATCGTCAAAAGGTCCGCAAACAGTACTTCCTGCGGTATTGCCACAGGTCAGCAAACGATCCTTTTTCGGGTATCGTAAAGGGGTTGCTATCGGTACTGTTTCCGGTCTCGCCACAGCGTCCGCAAACGCTATTAGTTCGTGTTCCGAAAATGAGAGGTTTTGGTGCCACAAAACCCAGGACAGGTAATTTACTTTGCTACCGATCTTGAGCCTAAAATCGGACGTTTTGTCCGCCTGCGGTCCGCAAAACTTCAGTTTTTAATATTTTTTACGGAGTTTTTGTCTGCTGGGAAAAGCTCCCAGCAGACAAAAACTCCGTAAAAAATATTAAAAACTGAAAAACAAAGTAAATTACCTGTCCTGGGTTTTGTGGCACCAAAACCTCTCATTTTCGGAACACGAACTAATAGCGTTTGCGGACGCTGTTTATCGAGAAAAAAAACAGTACCGATAGCAACCCCTTTACGATACCCGAAAAAGGATCGTTTGCTGACCTGTGGCAATACCGCAGGAAGTACTGTTTGCGGACCTTTTGACGATGCGTTTCAGATACGTTTTTAATATCTATTTCCAACTAAATTTTTTTAGAATTTCGGTTTTTTAAATGTAAATAAAACATACATTTATTTATGTTTATCATTATTTATTAGTTATCATTATTTAACTTAAAAATAAACATTTATGATTTAATATTAAAACACACTTGAAATTACAAGTCACTTTCATAACAAACAAGCGTTAAAATATTTTTATCGTGTGATTATATTATTTTAGAATGTCTTTCTTATGACAATCATTAGTATTATTTACGTTATAACATTTTTTATGGTTTTATTCTGTTTTTTTGGTTCCTTTGTTATACTCAATGTTTAATAGAGATTAATTTGGTTGATCAACGTTAAATAAATTTTATTTGTTATACCAAAAATCCTTTCAGTTGCATTTGATTTGATTTTTGATCTAACTAAAACCGATAGTTTCTTATTTTATTTTTATTTAAATTGATATAAATAAAAATAAAATTAAAAACTATCGATTTATTTAGAATAATTATATATCGATTAAAAGTGATATCACATTCACACCGAGGACAACGAAATTTTTGTAGCAGTCACTTTATCAGTTATTGAAAATGCAAATGTGGAGATATATTCATAATAGTTCTATTATTTCTTTAAATTCTTATTCAAATAAATAACAGGATACCTGCAGTACTTCTTCATACTGAACTAAAGCTCTCTAAACCATTAGCCACCATTCTACCCCAGAGAAAAACATCCTCAGCAGTCCACCCTGTATTTTGGCCACCGTATCTTCCCCATCCTTTCAACCACAACTTGCCGAAATGTCGGTTTTGAAGTGAATATACGTTTTTAATGTTTGCTTTTTATTACAAACTAAATGGGAAAAATGTGTTGGCCAAGAGAGTTGGGCGCCAGGCGGGACTGGGGTGCCGTGAAGGGGTCAGGGGTGTCTTTGCTTGACACTTGCTACCTTTTTATTATAAATGTTTTATAGCTGAGAATTTTACAAATTACTTTTTGTGCAGCTCCAGTCAGTCACACACACACACACTCACAAGCGCGGGGACATAAAAACTTGATGACAGGTGTAGCAAATTAGGATTATTATTTTAAATACCAAAAACCAACGTCATCCCATTTCCGTTGTTATATTTTTAATGCTTATTAATGCATAAGGCAAACTGCGAACTTTTTATGGCGAATTTCAACAGGATTTTTATTAAAGTTTGGAATAATTAAAATGTTGAGCCGAATGGTAATGTACAAGTAGTATCAATAATACGCATTTTATGGAAACACTTTTCAATAAAACACTTTAAAAATAAAATATTTTTCACTTGATTAATATTTTAAGCAAATGCCATTTTTAAACGATAACAAAAATATTTAATTATTTCTAAATACTATATTAGCTTAAGGGAGGGTAAGGTATTTAATTTTAATTTTTTTATTTTAAGGGCTCAATACCTTAAGAATACTGTGTCCAATTTTTACATCGATCATATTCATATTGTCGAAGGTATGCAGATTTAAACCTAGGTCGGTTGGTGTTCAATGGATGAGTATAACAAAGTTTAAAGCGCTCTCCTGAAAAATGCCATTTTGAAAATCTACTGAACCAATCGGTTTGAAAATTGGAACATAACTTCTTTAACTAATTCTCAAGTCGACCTTTTTTAATTTTGAACTTTTGTAGATATTTAATATAGTTTTTTAACTTAATTTTTAAGTACAAATTCGGGGTTTTGACTTCCAATTTTGGTAAAAAATCGAGAAAACACTTATTCTTTAACTAATGCATTATAGTTTTTTGATATCGGTTGTTTTTAAGGGGACTCAGGATACTCCCTATTACTCGTAGACCTGTAAATAATACAAAAAAAAATTTTAAAAAATACAAAAATTTAAAAAAAATCAAATTGTGTGGCATTATATGGTATTTAATTCATTAAGCTAACTTTAGCCGTTTCGCCACAAATTTTGGTTGAAGAGTGGGCCGTTTTGCACCAAATTAACTCTCTCCTTAAATTGCACATTCAAAATATGAAATAATTTATATTTATTAATATATATTTTTTATTTAAGAAGAAAGAAGAAAAGCTAATAAGATAAATTTTTCTAATGTCATTCCTCTAATTTCAAGTATACTTATTATTAAAAGAAAATCTTATTTAAAAACATGTTTTTACTAAACAAAATTATTAATAAATTTGTTTTAAATCTTCTATTTTTATTATAATATTTAACATAAGCTGTTCATTTCAATTTGTTATATAACAATTTATATTTTTATATTTTAGCATTTT